GTACTTTCCTAGCATGTGTGAAGCCCTGAGATCAATCCCCTGAGATCAAAAAAAATTTTTTTTTCTCAAAATGGAGTTGAAAATAGGAATAGCTTCAAAATAGGAAAATGAGAAATAGCTTTGAAAATTATTAAGTGAAATGCAAATTGAGGTCATGTAATTAATTAGTTTTTTTATATTCTGATGAAACTAATCTTTGGAAAAAATAATGTTAGATCATAAAAATAAGTAAATATTCTTATAATGAAGAAGAAAATATCAAATTATTAAGTGTAGTTTAGAAACCAGTGAGATTTGTTGAATGTATTTCTCTTTGTTTTAGATGTCATGAAACAGAACTTTATTTTTATTTCTTATATTATACTCAGAAAATGAATAGACGTTAGAAAAAATTTTTAGACCCTTCACTTTTATTTTTCTTATTTATAGAGATTGTTATAAAATCAGTAGTGTATTAGAAATGAAGCAATTCTAATTTTACTGATTGCTTACATAATTTAAAATTTATTTTATGAGCTATTTGGCTAGCTGGTATAACTGGTCATGTTTCTGACATAGGTATTCTTATGCAATAGTTGGAATCAATCTCACAGAGATGGCTTATAGCTTGCTGAAGAATGAAGCTTTGAAGTCTCATCTCTACAACTGTGTTCCTGGTGTACCAACAATGGAACATTTTCACCAGTTTTATTGTGAGTATTAGAATAAGAAAGTTAGCTCTAAGAGAATTTTTAAACCATTAGTGTGTATTTTAATCTGATACCTCTATCAAGTATAAAGTTTATATTGTTATTTTTGATCTTTGAAGCCAGGAAAGTAATGGGATGGTCCATAAGAGTATTTGGTACTTCGTTTCTATATTTGTTTATTTAAAAAAAAATTGTGATATTTTTCAAGTGTGCAAATTTAGAATTTGTATAGTTTTTCTGTAGCTTTTCATTTTCCAGTTAACCACAAAATGAATTTTCCCTCTCAAATACTCCCTAAGGAGTCAATGATAGATCATTTGCAGATTTTTTTTTTTATATACTCTTACAGGAAAATAAATTTAAAGGAACTTTTCACCCCTTTATTTCAAGGTCAGGTTGCCTGGTGTTAAT